CCGACCATGAACACATTTCCAGTGAACTCAAACACGTACGCCAAGCTCTTAAGGCAAATGGTTACTCCGACTATACAATCCGCAAAGCCATCACTCCAACCATCAAGAAGGATCCTGTTGAGGAGCCTTTCAAGACCATCACCTTACCCTACATTGCTGGGGTCACAAAAAAGATCTCCAAAATCCTGATTAAACACAAGATCCAGGTCCGATTCAACACAGTACATAAAATCCGTGATCTGGTACCGTCTGTAAAAGATGTGGTTCCAGACATACAGTACCCTGGCGTCTACAAACTAAGTTGCCTCTGTGGTAGCAGTTACATTGGGGAAACCAAACGACATGTCTCGGACCGCATCCGTGAACATAAAGCTGACCTGAAACACGGTAGGACTAACACCTCAGCCGTGGCAGATCACTGTTACAACTCAGTGGGCTCACATGATATTGACTTCTCCAAGACAGAGGTTCTCTGCAAGCCATCTGGCTATCATGAGAGATTCGTTCATGAGGCGATCCACATATACAAACACAGAGACAACTTTAACCGAGAAGATGGATTCTGGCTCAGCAATCATTGGAAGGACGTAATAAACCATTTCGATACACATTAGGGTGTGTAGAATAATACATAGTGTGATATTAAATGTATAAGATATAGGTTGGTTTACAGCAATACAGTATATAATTTAATGTTGGGTTTATCTATGGCAGTATATAGTACGGTATATGCTCGTGTGATGTAAGAGAATAAGGTTTAGATGGAAGCATATTATAGAATTTTTACGAGGTAAAATTGTAATGTATTACTTGCTGTTAGTAACTCAGCTTATTATAGAGTATAGTAAGTATACTGATGGTGCGATGCAGTTTATACTTTAGTTTTTTATGTAGTTTATACTTTAGTTTTCTACGTGGTTGTTGAGTAACTGCAGCTACATATCATTAACATTCCTTTCCTTTGTTACTGCTAATCCTTGCACCCCCCTTGGTTGCTGCTGATCCTGCATAATGCATGGGCATAATATGACTTTGACACCCCCCCGCCCAACGCCTACGCATTTTCCATGAATATGCTAAATCCCTCTTCACATGCACATTCTTTTTGTTAAGGCGCTCTTCAACCCCCAATGCAGCTTATATATAAGCTCCTAGTTTGGTAGTGTCTCATTCTTCACCTGAAGACGGCTGCTTGCGTTGTAGCCGAAACGTCGTGAGAATTGTTTTATTATGTTTTATTTTTATTATTTTATTACTTCCCTTCTACGTGACTTTACCGAAAGAAACAAGAAGATGAATCCCTGCAGTCACGAAAGCTTTAAATCGAAATTTAACCGCCTCTACGGGGAGGGTTTCCACATAACTTTGAGATCCTTCAACAAGCTCCGGGATAAGAAGGCTCAGCTAATCGAGTCTCTCACCTTTCTGAAGAGATGCCGCGACTCTAAGGTAATACCAAACGCATTTACACTAACATCTGCTGCTGTAACTTCTTCTAATGCGAAACGAATTCTGTCTAGAACTAGCTTAGCTCTTATCTCAGAGAAAATCAGACTTACGCGCACCGAACTAGATCAGTTAGACAAGACACTCTACAAATCACACTTATCTTTGAGTGTAACAATGTCCACATCGGATTGGGAACATGTGGAAAAAATGACTGCCTCTTCAGCTGCCGCTATGTCGACTAAATGTAAGGACAACTTGATTTCCAAATTCAATCGCCTCTCAAACAAGAAACCGGACCCACACATTGAAAAGCTAGATATTAACAAAGTCGTAATTAATCGCAGTAACAGTCCTATTTCTGAAGGTTTGAAATCCGTTTTAGCTAAAGGACTAAACTTTGCAGTCACACCTAGACACATACCAGTTAATGATATAATTGCTCGAGTAGATGTAGCTCTCAAGGGCTTGAGTCACATCGCTGCAGACGTAGCAAGATCCGAAATCTCTGTAACCCTCAAAAACGCTAAGATGCCAGCTAGCAACATCAGCAAAGAGGAGCGTTTTGAATTAGCTCAATTAAAAAAGAGGGATGACATTGTCATCCTCTCAGCCGACAAAGGCAATGCCACTGTCATCATGGACAAAATAGAATACAACAACAAAATTCAAGAACTACTAAACGATGGCAGCTATACAAAAATAAAAAGAGACCCCACCAACAGCCTCGTCTCCAAAACCAACAACATCATTTCTGCTTCAACCGCATTAATTGATCAGACCAAACAGTTCTCGTTGAAACCTTCTGCAGCCAGACCACCAAGATTGTACGGCTTGCCAAAGATACATAAAGAAGATACACCTCTTCGTCCCATTGTCTCTACTATCAACTCCCCCACTTACAAACTGGCTCGTTTTTTGTCCGAAATCCTACGGCCTTTCACTGGAAAAACCACCTCTGCAGTACTAAACTCTACTGACCTGGTATCGACAATCAAGGGGATTGCCCTGTCCCCAGACGACCTGCTTGTCAGTTTTGATGTGGTTTCCTTGTTCACCAAGGTACCTGTGCCTGACACCATCGCAATCATTGAAGACTTGGTTCATCAAGGACTGAATGCTGGGGTACCCCCCCTGGTGAGACACTGCTTAACCAATACATACTTCACCTGGAATGGAACCTTCTACAAGCAAATTGAGGGCACCCCAATGGGCTCCCCCCTATCTCCGGTTGTAGCCAACATCTTCATGGAGAAATTTGAGACGGACGCCATCCAGACTGCCACTCTACGCCCGACCTTATGGAAGAGGTACGTAGACGACACTTTTGTCATCTGGCCACATGGCCGGCCTGCTCTAGACCAATTTCTCGACCACATCAATTCCATACACCCAGCCATCAGATTCACCATGGAAGTCGAAAATGATGGCAAGCTACCCTTTTTGGATGTCCTAATCAAAAGGAGACCTGATGGTTCAATGAGCCACTCTGTCTACAGGAAAGCCACCCACACGGATGCTTATCTAAAACCGGATTCCCACCACCATCCATCTCAGAAGAATTCCCTCATCAAGACTCTATATCATAGAGCCCAATGCATCTCCGACCATGAACACATTTCCAGTGAACTCAAACACGTACGCCAAGCTCTTAAGGCAAATGGTTACTCCGACTATACAATCCGCAAAGCCATCACTCCAACCATCAAGAAGGATCCTGTTGAGGAGCCTTTCAAGACCATCACCTTACCCTACATTGCTGGGGTCACAAAAAAGATCTCCAAAATCCTGATTAAACACAAGATCCAGGTCCGATTCAACACAGTACATAAAATCCGTGATCTGGTACCGTCTGTAAAAGATGTGGTTCCAGACATACAGTACCCTGGCGTCTACAAACTAAGTTGCCTCTGTGGTAGCAGTTACATTGGGGAAACCAAACGACATGTCTCGGACCGCATCCGTGAACAAAAAGCTGACCTGAAACACGGTAGGACTAACACCTCAGCCGTGGCAGATCACTGTTACAACTCAGTGGGCTCACATGATATTGACTTCTCCAAGACAGAGGTTCTCTGCAAGCCATCTGGCTATCATGAGAGATTCGTTCATGAGGCGATCCACATATACAAACACAGAGACAACTTTAACCGAGAAGATGGATTCTGGCTCAGCAATCATTGGAAGGACGTAATAAACCATTTCGATACACATTAGGGTGTGTAGAATAATACATAGTGTGATATTAAATGTATAAGATATAGGTTGGTTTACAGCAATACAGTATATAATTTAATGTTGGGTTTATCTATGGCAGTATATAGTACGGTATATGCTCGTGTGATGTAAGAGAATAAGGTTTAGATGGAAGCATATTATAGAATTTTTACGAGGTAAAATTGTAATGTATTACTTGCTGTTAGTAACTCAGCTTATTATAGAGTATAGTAAGTATACTGATGGTGCGATGCAGTTTATACTTTAGTTTTTTATGTAGTTTATACTTTAGTTTTCTACGTGGTTGTTGAGTAACTGCAGCTACATATCATTAACATTCCTTTCCTTTGTTACTGCTAATCCTTGCACCCCCCTTGGTTGCTGCTGATCCTGCATAATGCATGGGCATAATATGACTTTGACACCCCCCCGCCCAACGCCTACGCATTTCCATGAATATGCTAAATCCCTCTTCACATGCACATTCTTTTTGTTAAGGCGCTCTTCAACCCCCAATGCAGCTTATATATAAGCTCCTAGTTTGGTAGTGTCTCATTCTTCACCTGAAGACGGCTGCTTGCGTTGTAGCCGAAACGTCGTGAGAATTGTTTTATTATGTTTTATTTTTATTATTTTATTACTTCCCTTCTACGTGACTTTACCGAAAGAAACAAGAAGGAGTATATATACCTACGAGGGGTAAAGATATTTTTTGAGGGGGGGGGGAGACCGCAATTTTCGGAAACATTTTGACATCAACTATTTACCCCACACTTTCTACAACTTTTTGGACTTGTGAAAGCCTCTTATATATTTGTTGGTGGAAAAATGTACAAACAGCCCACCGGGCTTTGACAATACCTTAGTATCTGTGTATATATATGTAAGGTTTTTAAGAAAGATATTTTTCACCCGGGCAAAGCCGGGTACTTCCGCTAGTATAAAATATTCGCCACCAATGTCAGCAAAGTTCAGTCGAACTCTGAACTCCGGTCGCCAGGTTCATAACAAAGTAGCGTCGTGGTTAGAGCGTAGTAGACTACCTGGTGTGGTGGGAGGCAAAGGCAGCCGGGCGTACGTGATGCATGCCACCCACCCTGTCGTGTGCCGTGCCGGCCTTCATAGGTGCTACTCACTAACAGCACTTACCCCAACAGTCTACGTATGCTATATAAGGGATCTTTGTGCATGTGTTTGCAAGGGAGAGGCTCTGTGTTTCACCTGCACACAGAAGTGAGGCTCTAATTTTGGCCAAGGAGACCCAAGAACGTCGCGTGGAGCGATGGGCCAGGCAGGTGTTACTCGCCCAGCCGATGCAAAGATAACGTGTGGCTCACCCAGTTTCACTTCCTGCGACTTCTGCTTGGTTTCCTTCTCAGCCTGGGCCCGGAACCGGCACGACTCAAACTTATACATGCTGTGCACACGCCAACACAAAACAACCACAAGGGGCCCCTCGTCACTGCTGTTTGTCGTTAAACAGTTTCTGTTACCGGGTTTACTCATTGCTCTCGTAAAGAGAGAGAGGACAACTCAGAGGTGCCACGAAGAGGAACCATAGACGGACGGGAAGGCAGCAGCAGCAACAGCCACACGTCGAGCCAGCGTTAAACCCCCACCCACGGGTAGGGGGTTTCACGACGTCTGTGCGGCGATCCGCCAACCCTCCCTGACAACTCCCCAGTGCCGGATCACCATGAGCAGTAACAGCAAAAAGGCCACGTGGTTCATCTGAAGGAGGCACGGTCCGTACCAGGGTCTGTAGAGGTCGTGGTCCAGCCTCTTGGTGATGACCTTTTGGTGCTGCAGGTAGAGGCGCATACGCGGCTTCAGGTAGAGGGTGGCAAGGTACGCGCGGAACGACACCCGCTCCGGAGGGGTGCTGTACAGAGACACAGATCCCAAGTACTGTTACCGACGGCTGGAACCGAGCATCGATTTGAACATGGGGGGGGGGGGGGGTCGGTGTGGCCAGCACTGCTCCCGGCCACCTTTGTGTCTCTCCAGTGCTGATCTTTACGAAACAAACCAACGCCATGTCCGGCCACCTTTGTCTCCCTAATGCCGATGTTTACACACCACACCAAGAATAAGTAGTAGTCCAGATGGTTAAAGATCACAGAATGAACCAGGAGTTTGGTGGCAGAAATTAAATGAGGGCAGATTTTCCTAATGTTGAATAAATGAAAGCGGCAGATGTGAGTAGAAGTGGAGATGTGGGTGGAAAAAGTCAGGGAAGACTCAAAAGTGACACCAAGGTTGAGGGCAGAGAAAACAGGAGAAAGAGAGAGGAGGAGATGGTTGTGATGGGAGCATGAAAGCAAGAGGCCGGAATGAAAATTATTGTTAGCTTGGAAGGATTGAGAGACTGAGGCACAATCCAGGATTGGATGGCTGCCAGACAGGAGATACGAGAGGAAAAGTCACAGGGGGTAGATTAAGGAAATAAGATTTGTGTATCATCAGCAAAGAAATGATGAGGAAAGCAGAACGATTCAAGTGGTGAAATATAAGAGAGAACAGTAAGGGACCCAGAACCGAACCCTGCAGAACACCAACACTGAGAGTGAAGCGTGGGAGTATGGAGTGATTGGAGATGGAGGATGTGTGAGGTGAGACTTGAGCCAGGAGAGGGGGTGGCCAGAGCTGCTGAGCTTGGAGAGTGGAAAGAAGAGGGGGGTGAACTAGAGTCAAAGGTCAAGATGCATGAGAATAGATGACCGGCATGGAAGGAATTTGCAAGATGGTTCTAGACATTTAGATGGGCTGTTTTAGTGAAATTGTAGATCCAGGAAATGTGAAGACATGCGGAGTGAGCGCTGGTTATGAACAAGGCGTTCCAGAATTTTAGAAAAGGTGGAAGAAAATGGTGGGGTCAAGGGAATGTCTTTTGAGCAGAGGAAAAATAATAGCAGATTTTAATGTAGAAGAAGGAAGTCACCTTAGGAGTGAAAAATGACCACAAGGTAGGAAATGATATAGATGGGGAGGCAAGGAAGAAGGGAGGCAGAAATGGGGTCACGGGGGGAGGAGATAGGGGACGAGTTTTGGAAATGACAACAGAGAGCTCAGATGAAGATGTCAGGGTGATGGCGGAGAGAGGTGCAGTGACGCAGGGAGGAGAGGAGAGTGCAGCAGACCGAGCAGTGGGGGGAGGCTGAAGGGACAACAAATGAGCTCAACCTCAGAGGAAAAACAATGAGGGAAGGCTAGAGGGGGAAGGGGCACTGGGAGGAGAGGAGGATGTAGAAGCAGAGGGACGGAGTGAGTTGTTGATGGTGGAGAAGAGTCGTTGAGAATGAGGGACAAGGGAAGAGACGAGGGATAGAAAGAGGACTGTTTTGCAGATTCAAGAACTGAATTTGGAATGAAGAGAAAGGTAACGAGGTGCCTGGACCCGGGCTGGAGGGAGAGGCTTTCCATCAGTGATCGGCTTTGCGAAATGAGCGCCGGTCGAGTCTGAGTGAGGCAGCAAGCCATGCACTGGGAAACTAAACAGAAAACTATTTTTGTTTTACCTGGTAAGGCCCAATGAGCTATATAGCTCTTTTTCAGAAGTGACCGGGCCACAAATGATAGCTCAATTAAGTGGCTTATCACGTAGAATGCATAGCACCCAATATACTCTAAATGCGTGTATATTTGAAATTTGGAGGGAAAAACCGAAGGACCCGGTGAAAATTCCACGCAACCACGGGGAGAACATGCAAACTCTAAATATACAGGTATCAGGGTCGGGACCGAACCCACAACCTCCTTCATACCAGGCGGGAGCAATAACATCTCACCACTGCGGCACCCATAGGAACCCCAGCGATCCCAGTTTGCCCCCCCACAAACTCCCCTCAGTACTTGTAAAAGGGCTTCACCCTTTACAGGAATACCTGGGAATCGGACACAGGAGGTGTATAATGGCCACGTTGGGATTGTTAATTCCAGGGGTAGCCCTCCCACTCGCACCCACCTCAAGTCCCTCTGCACGCCCCGCATGAGGATGTCCTGAGGATCAGAGGTGATGTCCAGCTCAGACTCCCCGTCATCCATCAGCATGAGGTTGTAGACCATGACGAGGGTTCCTATAAAGCAACAGCAACGGCGGCCACCGTTTGCCTCTCAGTTCAAGTTGATTTTGTGTTGCCAGGTGAGACCTCCAGTGACCAGGATAGTCTCAGTTGCAAGAGTAGGTGAATGGGTGAGTGAGTGAATTAGTTAATGGGTGAGGGAGCAAGTGAGTGAATGAGCGAGTGAATGAGTGAAGTTGATTGTGTCACACGGTGAGAAATCCAGTGACCAGAATAGAGGAGCCACATTTGTAAGTGGGTGAAAGGGTGAGTGGGTGGGTGAGTGAGTGAATGAGTACATGGGTGAAGGACTGAGTGAATGAGTGAGTGAATGGGTAAGTGAATGGGTGAATGAGTGGGTGAATAAATTATTTGAGTGGGTGAGTGGTTGAGTGAGTGAATGGGTGAGTAAAGGGGTGAGTGCATGAGTAGGTGAGCTGAAGTTGATTGTGTAACAAGATAATAACTCAAGTAGTAAGAGGAGTCCCATGTGCAACAGTAAGTGACCTGGGTCACAAAAAAGACAGCAATGCAGCAAATAGAAATCAGAATAAAACAGCGTCACGTGAGAAAGTGATATTGCACGAAAAATATATCAACTGAGTCGTGGTGACAAACAGCACTTGTGCAAGGCTAGGTGCACTTCTAGGCCACATGAAGTGTCGAAGGCTCACTGCTGGCAGGTTACAGGAGATAGGCAGGTGTCATGGGTTGACTGACTCATAACTAGCAGATGCACTACGTGTGCCCCCTACTGTGCCAACTTGCTGTGTTTTAGCCACCCAGCGCTCTGCTTGTTGTTGTGAGCATCGCTCCTCCACCCTCCGTTGATGCAGGACGGCGACTGCCTCAAACTGCTCAGTAGCCTCCTTCACGAGCCTCCTCCACAGTGACAGATCTCGACACCGCTGGTACCATCGGCAAGTCCACTCAGCTCTATACCTGCCTGTACCACATCAGTTCATCTTTTCTCCAGCCCATGCCATACCCATTTACCCCATCTCTCTGGCCAAATAGAAGCTACTTGGAAATGCGGTGGCTGGGCATACGGGCTACATGAGACTTGCATGTCAGTCTATGACCACCAAGCTAAAGGGTTTGCATAGAGAATGGCGCTTGCTTAAACGTCTGAGCAACTCCAAGCACCTGAAATCTTCTCATCTCAACTACTCCACTGTCCTACTGCAGTTTATACAAGGAAAACCCCCACTGGCAGCTGTCCCTATGTGGCATAACGTTTATACAACTCGCCTGCAAATGTATAAGGAATCACACAGGGCCAGATTAACTCAGAGAGAATCCTAGCCTCACACAGAGACCCATAGACTTTCACAGAGCCCTATAAACTTGTGCAGAGACCCAGACTCACAAATATGTAGTGTCATTGGTATGAGTACCGTTGTGTAGAGACAGTACCGTGTGGGTGGTACTGTTGGGGGGGAGCCTCTCCCCAGACACCGGATGGGCATACCAGGGGAGGCTGGGTAAAGAAGAAGGGGCACGTGACCGGCGGTGGTGTGGACGGGGGGTGCCAGGGTTGAGGTTGACTTTACCGAAAGAACCAAAGAGTGTGGGCCTTGAACCCTCACAAAAGATCGGGAAAAGAGGTGTGGCCAAAGGCGGGGCCTGGCCATGCCGTAATGATAAAAGTCGAGCGCCGGGGGGGGGGGGACCGGGGTCGATGCTGCTGGAAGAAACCTTCGTCGTAGGCGGGTCTCCGCGCACGTGGACCAGGCAGCGCATTGGCTGACCTGGTCCGGTTTGTCGTTGCCCATCCAGAATGTAAATAGCCACCTACTCCAAGTTTATAGAGCTAAGTGTAGGAACGGTTGTTATTCCGTTAAGAGTTATGTGATGTTAGTTAATAAACCGTGTTGACTCCAAGTTATAGTGTGCGCCTGATTGAACCCACTACAAAGAGACCAATAGACTCACAAATATACCAGAAGACTCAGCAGGCCCAAAGATTTACCCAGAGACTTACACAGAGAGCCAAGACTCATACAGGGACCCAGAGACTCATACAGAGATCCATAGATAAGAATTTGCATGTATATATCAGTGGCTAAAATGTAAAATTGTTTCATAGAAACCATTCCATTGCACTGTGGCAGGCCAGGCAAGGGGAACCCCTCCTCACCAGCAGCAGCTGTCTCTACACTGCAGGAAAAGTGGCGAGCCACGGTGAATTTACTGCAGCCGAAGAAAGTTGTAGTAAAATATATGAAAAACCCTCCAAACACGATTGCGAGGGAAGACAGACAGCAAAATAATGGGACGCACCGTATCGCCTCGTGACAAAAATTATACGAGTACCGGAAGATCCATGAATCTTCTTGAACTGCTGCTTCAGTATTTCCTGGGATTTGAATGGCGAGTACCTGTATGGGGTGACAGCGGGTCACGCTCTATATGGAAGAGAAACCAGCCATGCACATGTATTATTTACACATGCTCTCCTCTGACACGCAGGTTCGTCCCCAGAGCGTTTGTTTTCGCCGATCATGACGTCTGCCTTTTTCTGGGAGCGTGCGACATCACCGCTTCGGTTTGAAACCCTCAATAATTATCGCTGGTGTCTTATCACCAAGTTTCGGGCGGCGACCAATTGATGGATGTGGCTGGGTTTCTCTAGGTTGAGTCCCCACCAGCAGTGCAACTTTACACGAGTTTCACTCAAATCGGATCAACCCTTAAGTTAGTTACAGCGACCCCACGTTACTTTACGGATGGACGGACAGGGCATTTGCACCACCTGCACACTCAACAGCTTCGCCACTGAGAGTACTCAGAGGGGACCCTGCCTGAGTGGGCTTGAGATGGGATGGAGTCGGGTCTGATGCCCACAACAAGTATATACGTGCGTGCAATACGTCCATGGGCCAGAGCATAAATTGTATACCACCTACGTGTAGCACTCTAATTTTACCAATGTATTTATACGGCTACGAGCAAACTTTGCACGAACCTCGATATAAGTTTTGGTTGCATTCTTGAAAACCTGAACGTAAAGCGAAACATCGTACCGTATATCAAAACATATTCTCCCATAAGGTCCCATTACACTGGTCAACAAAAATAAAGCATTTTTTTCTGGCCTGGACTTTTGCAGCTGTTTTAGACTAATTTCAGGGTGCTGATTCCAAATCCGATCTCAGATTTATGCTATCAGCATACCCCATTTTCATTGATTTTACCCGAAATTAACTCTGTCACTTATGATTGCAAGTTGTTGCGAGTCAGTGACTGCTTTAGTGTTAAAATATGGTGCTGTATTTTTAGGATAGTGTGTTTATAATATAATTTTATATAGATATCCACATTTATTTAATATTTTTCTTCTGCAGTTTTTCTTGAAAATGCAATATTTTATATCTCAAAAACCTGATGTGATAGACAAAAACTGATGCCAGATTTGGAATCAGCACCCCAAAATTACCTTAACCCCGTTGGAATACCTTATGCCAGAAAAAGTGTGTTGACCAGTGTTATAACCTAATATATAACCTATAAAAATAACTTCCAACCCAAAGCCTACTAAAATAATGCTTATTAACACAACTAAGATATTTCAATGCCTAAATATGGAGAATAATGAGCCAGGTGATAAAAAACAAATACTGTACGCTCTAATTTACTAACCAGAAACCGTGGTGCACATTGTCACGTGAGGAGTTGAGGGGTGATTAGGAGGGTGAGGGAGGGGTAGTAGGTAAGGTGGCGAGGGGTGGAAGGGTGACTGAGTGGGTGAGGGGCACTACGAGTGGGTGGAGCTTCAACATGCAGCACCTCCCCCAAATCTTCCACACTCTCGTTGTGGTGGAACAGTACGGTAATTTGAACGCGGATTATAAACAACGAGCGAAGTATGGCAGCAATGCAAATGGCCCGAAAGCGTATAAAATGCACTCGCGGTTAAACGACATAATGTGAATTTACTATAAGGTTGTTAACAACAAAATTCCCACCCAAAGAAAATCCTATTTTGAATAAAAACTAAATGAAAGAATATTTATCATAAATAAACAAAGGAGACATACACCAAAAAAAGGTGTTACTTCACAACGTACATAACGAATCACCGTAAATCAATTTAACGTACATCCAGGTACCACCAGTATCCGATATCCGCACTAATTTCAAGTGGTTATCACATAACCCACCGATGTTGGCCACACAGAGAAATTGAAACCAGTAAAGACATGTCACAACAGGTGACATTGATCATTTGGGATTTCTGCTCATGGCCCTATGGACTAAATGTCACCTGAAGATAATGTCCATCTCCGTTTGATATCTCTGCGCATTTGACAAGATGACCTCCATGTCGTCGTTCCTCCACGATGGGAGTGGAATTATGACCTGGCGGAACAACATCAACTACAGAGGCAACAATAACAACCGCAGCCGGCTTACACTGATGCAGGCATTATTATCCTATTGAGACAGAGGGTCTCAGTGTCACTGGCTTAGCAGCCCAACACGGCCATTATGAACCCCACTCTGGGCCCCAACACGGACCAATACCTCTTTTCCACTGCAGAAGCCGTGCCGTGCCGCCAATGTCACATGCAATGCACGACACATTGTTATGCACGACCCATGGCCCTGCTTGGCCCCAATCTAGGATCAGATATTTCTAGTTTCGGCACAGACTGGCTTTAGCAAACAGGCCCAGTGGAAAAATCCACTTGTGCACCCGTGCCGGCTCGGCTTGGTTCTCTTACATCTCGTCATGGTCAGTCTCACCTCTTCAATCTTCTCCTCCTCGTGGAAGGCGCGGGACAGGAGGAGGCAGCTCATGGTGGCCGCCTGCTTCGTGAGAATGATCATGTCCCTCCCGATCCGCATCGTTCCCCTAGGAGAGGCACCCACCCCGCCCCCCATGGTGGAGGGAGGGTGACAGACACGGGGCGTGGTGGGGGCGGAACGACGGGCGAGTAAGTTTGTTTCCTCACGACGCTAAATATTTGTCACCAAAGTGAGTTTGTTATTCGGTTAGCGATGACAGAGTGGACAAACATCATCAAGAGTGACGCTGATGCCACATGATCACCACTACTGCTACCACCACTTTTGTAGTGGGTTGTTTGGAGACGGAGTCTTCTTAGGAGGCAACACGTATTTATTTAACAATAATGTGAACACACGGGGTCCCTGACACGAAGGGTCAATGGCCCTTTCTACTCGACGACCTGTGGAGGTATAGCCTCCGGGCTAACGTGCCCTAGCCACTGGGACCACCTAATCTTAGCCCTCCGGCTAACGGGACCTAGGGGGAGGCTGACCCGACCCAGCCAAGGTACTCGGGTCTCGGCCACTGGCACACTCAGACCCGGCCCTGATAAGGACGTCGGGTCCCGGGATCTTCAGGTTCCTAGTCTTCAGCGAGCTCTTCGGTCTTCGGCTTGACGCTGACTGCCGGAGCTGCTGTGGGGTCCGTCCGGCTTTTATGGGGCTCCCAGGGTTACTCAGTGCCTGGCCATGCCCACTCTCTGGATCCTTCTGGAGGGACCTAGATTTTTGCGCAATCCCCCAGCCCCCACTGGGGGCCTGGGGTGTTCACCTCCGGTTCCAAACCGCCCTCCAGTTTGCCTGACCCTCCAGTCCTACTTGGTACAGGCCGGACCCGCTATTGTCCCCTGTTGGGCCCTGACTGGAGATACATATTTCCAGTAGCGGTGACGGCGTATTACGCCTGACAATTACCCACCACACTTTCACCAGCACCAACATCACCACCACCAATTACCAACACTATCATCATCACCACTACCACCACCACCATCACCACAGCTACCACCACCATTATCATCACAATCTTCATCACGATTACCACAACACTTCGATCATTATATCATCACTACGATACCGCCATCATCTATCCAACAAAGGTCAGGCCCAGGTGATTTAGTAGCGTTCCTTTTCCCTCTTACTCTCTGCACAACAATCCAAAGGCCCAACATGTCAAGCGGCCAGTAACAAACAGCACTGTAGAAGGCATAGTTGGTAAGAGTGTAACACATTTCTTGCATTGAGTAAAGGCTGTAAGGATATGGGAAAACAAGCAGAAGTGTTGTCACCTGCAGTATGGTGAGTGAATGAGTGGGCAAATGGTTGAGTGAGTGGGTGGGTGCAAGGGTGGGTGTGTGAATGGGTGAGTGTTTGAATGATAGTTGTGACCTGCAGTGCGGTGAATGAGTGGGTGAGTGTATGATTGTGTGAGTGGGTATGTGTGTCGGTGAGCGGTAGTGTAGCGGTTCACTAGCTGTGCTATGAACCTGGCAACCCGTGTTCGATTCCTGCTCACGGCCAACACCAGTGACAATTATCTGAACCAGTCCTGGGCCTGCCCTAGGTCCACTCAGCCTCAAATGAAGACCTGGCCTGTAAACATCACCACTGGGGAGACAAAGATGGCCGAGGGTGGTGCTGGCCTAACACCCTATTGTTTGCCGTGCCGGCCTTCAAAGGTACTTGATAACAGCACTTGCTCCGACAGTCTGTTAAGGCTTCGTCTCGTGGGTGGGTGAGTTTGCCAAGGAGTGTGTTGTTATGACTTGCAGTGTGGTGAGTGAGTGGGTGTGGAATGGTCTGGTGGATGGGTGAGTGAGTGCATAAGCGTGAGTGAGGAGTGTGTTGTTGTGACCTGCAGTGTGGTGATAGTGGATGAGATTACACCGTCAGTGTCTGGTACAGACCAAGTAATTAACACTGGCTGAGGGGGAGTCAATGAGTGAAGTCCACGGGAGCAGTAGCCACGGCAGTAGCAGCAATAGCAGTTATTAGGAGGCAGCTGAGTGAATGAACGGAGTGACTCGGTGAGTTAAATTCACGGGAGCAGTAACCAGTGGTAGTAGTAGCAATAGAAGAGTAACAGGGAGACGGCTGACCGCCGGCGAGCATCAACATAACTCACGACTTGAGTCCGTTCCCATAGCGCCCGATGTGGGCCGTGGTGCGCTTAGTGGATTTTCCAAACTTCATCACGTTTGCCAGATCGCCTGGAGCAACATCAGCATCATCATCATCAGCATCGTGGTCATCATCACCAGTGGCAGCACTCACCAACAGTTGGTCATGGAGGTTGTGCCATACTTCATCAAGCCAGTCAGCGCAGGTTACTGAATAGCGAGCCCCAGGACATTCGCTGACGCAACACTAAGTGGCTGCTCACGAGCGTAAGACTCAATGTCTTGCAATCGGTGTCTATTTGGCGGTGGCATTGTCCTTGTACCGTTCACCTTTTGGCATACTTGGTGATACGAAGCCATGAAGATGGCTGTGTCTGGTTTAAGCCAATCAGTTTCAAGGACAGTGCATACATTACCACAAGTATGTATGTTTAATGCAGACATGATACCTTGTAATATCTGTCTATTTGGTGTTTGAACATCTTAACATCTCCCGTATTTATGGCAGAAAGGGTAATGATTTCTCAATAAATGAAACTGAAAATGTTGATACTGGCAAACAGGTGGTCCCACATAATCACCCAGCGTTTGAACCAGAACTCACTCTGGCTGTTTATTTCGCCCCAGCTAAGGAAAGGATTCCCCCAGCCCCGAACTAACCCTGCACCACTGCCGATTCACTTGCTCTTCTGTCGTGTAATTTGCTGCAGAATAGCAGATTTATTTTCGGGGAACAGGGAGTTGTCAACGGTTTAGGTCACAGTTCTTCAGCCAGCCAAGGGCCTCTGGGGTGCAGTTGTGCATGGCTTCTCTACCGCCTCCGAATGAGCGGGAGGCACACACATTGATGAGGTGTGGTGTGTTTGTAAGGCTTCCCCATTCAGAGTGGGGGCTGCTTTTTATCATCCACTTAATGGAGGTGATAAGCACAGCGACCTTGAGACGTGCCCAATTCTGTTGAGCGTGCACCACCACGGTGATGGTAACCTTCACGAGGTCCTCTCCATTAATGGTTCAGCACGACTGATACCATCACAATGGTAGACCGAACGCTGTTGTACATCAGCCTCCCGGTCGGAGCAGCAAGCGATCAAAGAATGGCCGGTTCACTTACTCGGGTTCATGCCATGGCCGTTGTCTAGGAAGCACAGGATGTACCCCCCACGGAAGTCCCCATCCACTGCAAGTTAAACGAGAGGGGTGGGGCGTTTGAGATTCAACTAAATAGTATATGCACACACAGTGTTTACATACAACCAAAATGACCAACTGTTTCGTCCACAATGATCAAACATTGGACAGCAGGTCTCAACAACTCGCTCATTCACCCACCCACCCACGCAAACACTCCCTCACTCATCCACCAACCTACTCACTAAACACCCTGCAGATCACACTATTACTCTTTCTGCTTCTTCCTCCACACTGCTCCACGCTAGAAATCCTCCCATCACAGTCTCTTTCTGAAAAATGTTTAATAATCCTTGCTCATTTCAACTCTGTCTATTCCACACTCCCTTCTCGTAGGTGGGTGTCGAGGAGCCATACCCTGGCTCTTCCAGAAGGCAGGGCAGCAGCGTGAATTGATAATAATCTGTTCCTTCTGTACGACAGGATAGAGTGTTGCCCTCTAGTACGTGTGGCTTTTCTCCAGGTGCTCCGGTTTCCACTCACATGTATGATGATAAACACTCAGTAATTGGCAGAAAACATCTTAGTATATCGAGGACTGCAGAGCATTTGATGGTGACTGGCTTAACACTATCTGTGGCTATGAATGACGGCCATTGCCATAAACAACAATTACAGAAGCCTTTCCTGTAAGGCCACAGTGATATTGACGAGCGTGTTGAGTTTGTTTTGTGGTAAATAGTGCTTGTGGTTATATTGCGGTTGTCGTAATGTGTTAATTTAACACGTAGGCAATTTAATGATTACCAATCTATGATATAATTATAATACCCTCCCCCTCTCCGCCTAAAATCCCTGCACCTAAATGAATTAAATGATGACGGTACCCTGCTGCTCTATTTAAGACCGGGAGCAAGAGGAGAGCCTCACCATCCTGGCAAATTGCCCTATGAAGCTGGATGTAATTACCAGGGAAACGTCGTATTCAAATTTTAAATGATGTTGATTCACTCTTCAACACACCGGTGGGGTAAAGTAGTGAATTATTTGTCCTTTGTAAACGTGACACATTTTTTACTGTTTGGCCGTGTCGGGTGGTGGAGGGTTACGACACATTTATAAATAACGCGATCTAACCCAAAAACCATTATTATGAGTAATGTGGCAATGTTGGAGCCATAATGTGGTTACGTTTGGGTTTATGTGGTTATGCTTGTAGTTAGAATGTTATTGTTGTGTTTATGGTTAGAATGTGGTTATCCTTGCGATTATAATGCTTGTGCACTACTGCCAACAAATGAGCATCACCGGATAATTTATACGATTATTGACATTCTAAATAGGGGTGGCTAGGGAGAGCCACATGTTTTCTATAATGGACATCAGCAAGAACTTGGTTGTTAGATTATACAAAACATTTTCAACACATCTCGGGAGTCCGTCCTTTGACTTAAGTCACGATAACAAACTTTTAGAATTGTTCCGTTTTGTATATAACCATGCAAGTAGAGGGTTAATAATGAAAACTAATTTCTGTGAAACCACAGCCACCGCTCCCCCACATACACAACCCACCTGAAAATATGTTCATCCTCGATGCCTCCGCATCCCTGCAACACATTCCAAACACCACACCGCAGATCACACGGGACTGCAATTACACAACACAGCAGCACTCAATGCCCTCCACTACTGGCAGACTATTGCCCGGTTTGCAGGGCAGGTGCTGGAATTATGGCAGAGGCGCAGCTGCCACCTGGGGTGCCCCGACGCAGATAGTAATCATCGCTCCCTATTGGCAGAGTAATGCCCCTTCTGCAGACCAGGTACTGGATTCACCTTTGTGCCGCACAGGGACAGCTGCCACTGGGGGTGCCGCTAGGCTAAACTGTAGTGATTGCTTCCTATTGGTAGACCAATGCCCCTTGTACAGGCCAGGTGCTGGAGTCACCTTGTGTTGCTGCATCACACGATACAATATGCATTTACATCGCAATGTCTAAACTTGAGACAGCATTCGTTCCTGAGCCTGGCCTGGAACAGGAGCAGGAAGCCCACAGCATGGATTAACCATGCACCTTAGATTTTGGCATAAATTAATAACTCATAGATTTTCCCTTAAGCCCAAATTAATCATCTAAAAAGTAATACATTTTTATGCTTAGAAATGTTATTACAACTCACGTGCTTAAACCGAACAAAAATATGCTCCGGTTAATCCAAAATCTATGAGATTTCCTCTACAGTACTGTAATTGCATATCTTTACAACAGTGGGCAGAGTTTGATTGATGTTAATTGACGTGGCTCTGCTGCTGTCCACTTAGTGGGGCCGAGTCTTCTGCGTGGGACCAGGAACGTGTTATGTATTAATCGGTCAATTGTTAGTTTTTGTTATAAATTGAAAGAATAATAATCAAAATGTTCAGTTGTGCTTCATCGATGAGTGGTTTATCAGATAATTTATTTTCTGAGTTTTAATTTAAACTGTTCATTAACTAAATTTTCTTAACCTAAACATAATTTATACTTATATAGTGACTGACTCATAGACACTAATAGTAGGAGGCATTCTGTTTATTAACACAGCCTTAACAGTTCACACTTTAGTAACTACGGTTCCCAGTCAGGACAGCTGGCAGACTGCCTGACTGGCGACGCCAAAATGGTGAAGACGAAGATGGTGAAGACGAAGACGGCGGACGAAGACTCCAGCAGCACGATGGGATCCCACTCCAAACGACATCCCCGAGGTCCCCTCCCCTAGAACCCCTCTTATACTGTCAGTGTGACCTGACTCCGCCCCGGCCACGCCCCCCTTCTGGAACCTACTAGCAGGTTCTCGATGTGCCCCTTCCGTAACCTTTCCCCTACATCCCTCTCTGGTCTATCACGTGACCTGCTGTCAGTCAGGGCTGCTGTAGCTGTAGATCCCCTTCCCTGCCAGCAGCCAGTGCTATGCTAAGTGACCGATTCTATGTCACTACACTTATATTAGTGTTTTTTCGCAAATACATTTGTGGAAATAAATATTTTTGTAATATCTGCCAATTTGTATTATCCGCAGCCATCCTCCCCATCATTAGCGCGGAAAATCAATAGACTACTGTAATGTGTTTGCGAGACTGCGCTTGTAAGTGGTGCATAGACACGAATAACCAAAGTTCAACCATGTTCCAATACGGGTAGCCCCATGCACACTGCACAACAAATTCAAACGTATGCAATGTGACTTTTAGGCAATGAGCCCAAAGTGTGAGATATCAGATAGCCCAGCCAGGCAGTGGTGGCTGTGCTGCACGTGGCTGCCTGTGATCCAGCACTGTAGAGGCAGCGGCGAGGGTTGGTGGCTCACCGCACAAATGTATAAACAAGCGTTTAGAGTATTTGGCTGCAATAAATTTACACATAAGCCAGTTCGTTGAGCTATCATTTGTGGCCAGTCACTTCTGAAAAAGAGATAATAGCTTGGTGGGCTTGACCTGGTAAATAAACTTGTTTGAATAAGTTTTGTGAAACTCTGCCAGAAGCCAGTACAGCAGAAATGTGGATTCTACCTGTTCCGTCTGTATGGGAATAGTGTTTAACCCTCACATGCGTGGGTTTTATCCAGGTGCTCCAGTTTCCTCCCACGTAAACCCTCATCAAACTGCATCACACCACACTGAACACCGCATCACACACCATACCGCATCACAATGAACACTGTTCGCCATGTCACATCACAACGCACACCATATTGCCACCGTATTGAAAAGCACTCACCACATCACACTGCGCCAAACACCGCTCATTGCATCACACTGCAGTGTCGATACATGGCACACATCATGCACACCACACATAGCCACCCACATCATAAACCTCATACACACCACACTCACCATACACCCTTATTTCTTTAGAAATGCTTGGTGTTTAGTTTGTTGTCCTTCCCCCGCACCTCCGATTTGCACGGTTGGCTACGTATGGTGTGAAAGTTTAACATACAGTGAGGGAAAAAAGTATTTGATCCTCTGCTGATTTTGTACGTTTGCCCACTGACAAAGAAATGATCAGTCTATAATTGTAATGGTAGGTTTATTTGAACAGTGACAGACAGAATAACAACAAAAAAATCCAGAAAAACGCATGTCAAAAATGTTATAAATTGATTTGCATTTTAATGGGGGAAATAAGTATTTGACCCCTCTGCAAAACATGACTTAGTACTTGGTGGCAAAACCCTTGTTGGCAATCACAGAGGTCAGACGTTTCTTGTAGTTGGCCACCAGGTTTGCACACATCTCGGGAGTGATTTTGTCCCACTCCTCTTTGCAGATCTTCTCCAAGTCATTAAGGTTTCGAGGCTGACGTTTGGCAACTCGAACCTTCAGCTCCCTCCACAGATTTTCTATGGGATTAAGGTCTGGAGACTGGCTAGGCCACTCCAGGACCTTAATGTGCTTCTTCTTGAGCCACTCCTTTTGTTGCCTTGGCCGTGTGTTTTGGGTCATTGTCATGCTGGAATACCTATCCACGACCCATTTTCAATGCCCTGGCTGAGGGAAGGAGGTTCTCACTCAAGATTTGACGGTACATGGCCCCGTCCATCGTCCCTTTGATGCGGTGAAGTTGTCCTGTCCCCTTAGCAGAAAAACACCCCAAAGCATAATGTTTCCACCTCCATGTTTGACGGTGGGGATGGTGTTCTTGGGGTCATATGCAGCATTCCTCCTCCTCTAAACACAGCGAGTTGCGTTGATGCCAAAGAGCTCCATTTTGGTCTCACCTGACCAAAACACTTTCATCCAGTTGTCCTCTGAATCATTCAGATGTTCATTGGCAAACTTCAAACGGGCATGTATATGTGCTTTCTTGAGCTGGGGGACCTAGCGGGCGCTGCAGGATTTCAGTCCTTCACGGCGTAGCGTGTTATCAACTGTTTTCTTGGTGACTATGGTCCCAGCTGCCTTGAGATCATTGACAAAATCCTCCCGTGTAGTTCTGGGCTGATTCCTCACCATTCTCATGATCATTGCAACTCCACGAGGTGAAGCCTTGCATGGAGCCCCAGGCCGAGGGAGATTGACAGTTCTTTTGTGTTTCTTACATTTGCGAATAATCGCACCAACTGTTGTCACCTTCTCACCAAGCTGCTTGGTGATGGTCTTGGAGCCCATTCCAGCCTTGTGTAGGTCTACAATCTTGTCCCTGACATCCTTGGAGAGCTCTTTGGTCTTGGCCATGGTGGAGAGTTTGGAATCTGATTGATTGATTGCTTCTGTGAACAGGTGTCTTTTATACAGGTAACAAGCTGAGATTAGGAGCACTCCCTTTAAGAGTGTGCTCCTAATCTCAGCTCGTTACCTGTATAAAAGACACCTGGGAGCCAGAAACCTTTCTGAGAGGGGGTCAAATACTTATTTCCCTCATTAAAATGCAAATCAATTCATAACATTTTTACATGCGTTTTTCTGGATTTTGTTGTTGTTATTCTGTCTCTCACTGTTCAAATAAACTTACCATTAAAATTATAGACTGATCATTTATTTGTAAGTGGGCAAACGTACAAAATCAGCAGGGGATCAAATACTTTTTTTCCCCTCACTGTAGTCATCGACTTACGAACATCATTAGTTCCTGAGACCCATTCGTAAGTCGGAACACAAAAATGTACCGTATTTAAATGCCCATACCGTCAATGTTTTGAAATGTGCTGCGGTTCAACAAAAAAGGGAAGCCTTGATAAAACTCAAAATAAGAAATATTATACATTTGTATGCAACACCGTAAAAAAATGCTGTATAGTAAAACACATAAAATTAAGTAACATAAATGTTTAATTTTAACTTACCTTCAGTCCTGATTCTAGTTTTATTATCGGAAGGGGGACATTGAGTCACCACAAATGCACACACGCATAGGGGCACTCGCATGCACATACACACGCAGGCACACACACAAGAGGCATGCACAGATGCGGGCATGCGGAGATGCATGCACGCACAGGCACACACCATAGATAATGATCCCCTTATAGCCTTAACAGGCTGTTAGGGCAAGTGCTGTTAGTGAGCAGAACAGCGCCTATGAAGGCCAGCATGGCCATGTTTACACACTGCACCAGGTACTGAATCGAGTCGATCTAGGGGAGGCCCAGGACCCATTCTGATCATCACGAATCGAACTTGGGTCGCTAGGTTGGTTAGCACACCGTTCTAACCATTGGACTACCAGGCACCCACCCCCCCCCCCAACAACAAAAACAAACTCCATTCGCCACTATGCGGCGGTGACATAACCACGCCACTTTTGCCAGGCTATGTGCACGTTAAGACCACATAAAGTGGCGAACGCCCGCTGGCAGGTCACGGGACAGACCCAGGTGCTGAGATGATTGGCCGATGCACCACCTGTGCCACCTACTGTGCCAACTTGCTGTGTTTTAGCCGCCCGGCACTCCGCACATTGCTGTGAGTCACTCATCTGCCCTCAATGTTGCTGGAGGGCGACTTCCTCCAACTGCCCAGTAGTGTCCTTCACGAGCCTCCTCCACAGAGGCCGATCTTGACATGGATGGAACCAGTCATCAGCAAATCCACTCAGCTCCACATCCTATTGTACCACACGAGTCCATTTCTTCACTAGCCCGCGCCATGCCCGTTTAGCCCTCTCTATTCGGGTGAACAAAAGCTGAGCATGTGGGTTTGATCAGCGGTCCTCAACCTTTTTGGCACCAGGGACCGGTTTCGTGGAAGACAATATTTTCACGGACCGGGGGGGGGGGGGTTCATCATTGGGTCGTTCCCCATTTTCAAAAGAAGCTCTCCAGCGACGTTTATTTTTTACTCATTTTGGCTAGGGTTAGCTTGTGGGATTACCAAAACTGTGACTGAGGCAAGTGCGCAGTGCGGGAAAGAGGCGCGGACGGAAGTGGTAAATAAAATAATGGGCGGGCCACGCGCAGACTCACCGCTCACCTCCTGCTGTGCAGCCCGGGCCACGGACCGATACCGATCCACGGCGCGGGGGTTGGGGACCCCTGGGTTAGATGACCCAGCCAACGCAGCCTTGCCTGGCGGAGCTCACCGATGGGACTTTGTCCCGATATTTCAAGGATTTGTGAGCTCCTCACACCAGCCTGGTTAAACCCAGGATGTGTCGTCGGCAGGCCAGCCTAAATGCTTTTAACCGGTGAAGATCTTAGGGAGGTCCACGTTTCGCAAGCATAGAGAATGGAAGGCATGACCGTGGCCGAGAATATCCGAAGCTTCGTGTTGAGCGACAGACCAGGTAGCTTCCACACAGTGTTATGCAGCCGATGAAAAGAAATAGCCGCTCGACTGATTCGGAGCAAGGTCTCTGCTGTCAAACTGGAGCCGGTCATGAGCACACTGCCCAGGTATGGAAAACTCTCTACTCTCTCCACAACTGCCCCATCACCAATTGGGAGTTGTGGGGGTGGAGTGTCTGATACCCAGACAGGTGCTTAGTTTTGGTGGGGCTGATGGTAAGGCCCCAGCTCTGAGTGGCACACTCCAGGTTCAGCAGCAGCACCTCCAATTCCTACTCTGATTGAGCAGCAATGACTCGATCATTGGCAATAGGAAGCCATCCATTCCTTGACCGCACCCGGGCATCGATCAGCCTCTCATTGTCGTTCTTATGTTCTGCTCTGTCTGTGTGTCTCCGTTCCTCTTGTCTTATGTTTTGTCTTTCTTTGGAATTTTCACACTTAAATTCTAACTTAGCAATCTTTGAAATACATAATCGACCAGGCTATGCGTTAATTGTGTTGACCGACTCTCTGTGTTGTATTACGTAACATTTCGATATTTTGCCAAGTTATTTAATTTAGTGTGTTCTTTCTCCCTCTCTCCTAATGTTCAAGCTTGCGTACTTTACCAGGCGTGTTTCGTATTCATTGACATATTAATTTTTTCTCTAACCCCTCCAACTCTCTCTGCCTCCGCCCCCCTCAGTCTATTTAAGGCCTCGCTACATAGACAATCTCCGTCTCTGTGCCCGTGTTACTCTCTCTCTATGTATCTTGGTGATATCTGTCTGCTTATATGTCTGTCTATAGCTTTCTGGTTAAAATTTTTGCTGCTATTTCATTTATACCTGATGACGAATGCTTGTGTCGCAATCGAAACGTCGTATGTTATTATTTAATTTGTTATTTTATCTTTATACGTGACTTTACCGAAAGAACCAACGAGTAATTCCTGCAGTCACAAAAGCTCCAAATTCAAGATTGAACCACTTCTACGGGGAAGTTCCAAGTTTATCTTTTTCTCTCTCTCTGGGTTTTTTGTTTTCTCTCTCTACCTGTGTATTTAGTATATTTTTTCTGTCTCCACTCGTTTTTTGTCGTTCTTATGTTCTGCTCTGTCTGTGTGTCTCCGTTCCTCTTGTCTTATGTTTTGTCTTTCTTTGGAATTTTCACACTTAAATTTTAACTTAGCAATCTTTGAAATACGTAATCGACCAGGCTATGCGTTAATTGTGTTGACCGACTCTCTGTGTTGTATTACGTAACATTTCGATATTTTGCTAAGTTATTTAATTTAGTGTGTTCTTTCTCCCTCTCTCCTAATGTTCAAGCTTGCGTACTTTACCAGGCGTGCTTCGTATTCATTGACATGTTAATTTTTTCTGTAACCCCTCCAACTCTCTCTGCCTCCGCCCCCCTCTGTCTATTTAAGGCCTCTCTACAGAGACAATCTCCCTCTCTGTGCCTGTGTTACTCTCTATGTATCTTGGTGATATCTGTCTGCTTATATGTCTGTCTATAGTTTTCTGGTTAAAATTTTTGTTGCTATTTCATTTATACCTGATGACGAATGCTTGTGTCGCAATCGAAACGTCGTATGTTATTATTTAATTTGTTATTTTATCTTTATACGTGACTTTACCGAAAGAACCAACGAGTAATTCCTGCAGTCATGAAAGCTCCAAATTCAAGATTGAACCACTTCTACGGGAAAGTTCCAAGTTTATCTTTTCCTCTCTCTGGGTTTTTAGTTTTCTCTCTCTACCTGTGTATTTAGTATATTTTTTCTGTCTCCACTCGTTTTTTGTCGTTCTTATGTTCTGCTCTGTCTGTGTGTCTCCGTTCCTCTTGTCTTATGTTTTGTCTTTCTTTGGAATTTTCACACTTAAATTCTAACTTAGCAATCTTTGAAATACGTAATCGACCAGGCTATGCGTTAATTGTGTTGACCGACTCTCTGTGTTGTATTACGTAACATTTCGATATTTTGCTAAGTTATTTAATTTAGTGTGTTCTTTCTCCCTCTCTCCTAATGTTCAAGCTTGCGTACTTTACCAGGCGTGCTTCGTATTCATTGACATGTTAATTTTTTCTGTAACCCCTCCAACTCTCTCTGCCTCCGCCCCCCTCTGTCTATTTAAGGCCTCGCTACAGAGACAATCTCCCTCTCTGTGCCTGTGTTACTCACTATGTATCTTGGTGATATCTGTCTGCTTATATGTCTGTCTATAGTTTTCTGGTTAAAATTTTTGTTGCTATTTCATTTATACCTGATGACGATTGCCTGTGTTGCAATCGAAACATCGTATGTTATTATTTAATTTATTATTTTATCTTTATACGTGACTTTACCGAAAGAACCAACGAGTATCTGTACCAGATGGAAATTCCTCCGGTGCAGCCATCGAAGGCTTCACAAACTGTCTGAAATAGATGTTAAATGTGGGAGCCAGAGGACATCCCTGTCGCACTCGAAGGTGAACAGGGAATGGCTCCGACTCCCGGCCACGTAGTTTTACCTGGGCCTGCTCACCATCATGAAGGTCTTTAATGATTGTGAGCAGAGTCAGGGACTCTGAAGGCACGAAGAAAAACCCCGAGTCCAGGCCTACTGATGGTATCATAGGCCTTGACCAGGTCAATAAGCAGAGATGTAGGTCCTGTTGGAATTCCCTATACCTCTGCTGTAGCAGACGGACATAAAATATGCCATCTGTGCAGGATCGCCCTTTCCTAAAACCACATTGGGGCTCCGCAAGCCTCTCCCCTCAGTGTGCCTAGCAAGGCAATGTTTAATAATCCTTGCCAAGGCATTTCCCGGCACACTGAGGAGGGAGATGCCCCCCCACACCCACGGGGGCATGCGCGCGCACATAGACACGAGCGAACGCACTCACTTTCGCACACAAACACATAAGAAGCAGCAGGAGAGTAAGCCTGGAAAGTTGCTCGTTAAATTTGTTCCTTTGCAAGGCCACGTGCACCAAAATTACCGACGGGAACGTGGCCGTGTTTTTCGAGCACAACCAGAGTGGGCGGTGAGCAACGTACCTCGCATTGTCCACCATCTCGGCCATGGCTCCAAACAGAAACTCGTGGGTGGTTCTAGCACAGAGATATGCGCACAGAGTGTGCACGAGTCAGCGGAGCCATCAACTTACGGCAGTTAGCGCAATGTGTTTCACAGCCATTGGAATTTGACAGGTCATATAAGTGGCATGTGATGTGAACCAGTGCGAATGCCCTGACCTTCACCAATCCGCACTGACCACAATGGTGAAGTATGGTCAAACAACTACAATGCCACACGGCTTGGGGAGGCTTCATCCAGCAGTGGATTGACAAATGAGACTTACATTATCAACTGTAAATCCACTACTGGATGTGCGCATTACGTTGTACAAGTGTGAAGTATAGTCAACAACCCTTATGACAGGATACTGCTTAGGGAGGCCCTTATCCAGCAGTAGATTGATCAAACTACTGCTGTTGACTTGTGAATGCACAGTACACTATATCGTAATCCAACATGGTTGACCACGTGGAAACCTCTAATCTCCACCCAGCCGCTCGAGTTGATTCCTGTCCAGGGCTATAACATCAATGTCTGAACAGGACCTGGGACTTCCCCCACCCGCATTGACCCGTGTAGTGAAGTATGCTCAAACAACCCCATTTTACGTCCATCACACAAGATGGTCGCGCCCATCACCCAAGATGGTGGCGCCCGAGTGGGCAGCGCGTGGCACCCAGAGCCAACACGCGGTTCCTCCCCGAGCCCAACAATCCCCGCCACTCACGAGTTGCTGTGTAGATAGTTGCAAGTAATCTCGGCCCTTTGAAGGAGCCCGTAGTCACCCTTCCTGCTTCGGCCGCTGCCGCTGCTGCCCGCCGTCTCGTCAAAAGTCATGTCAGCCATTTGCTGCAGTCTTCACGGAACTGGGATCGATTCGATTCGATTATCTCGGACGTAGAATCGTGATCTCAGACAAATATTCGTCGATTCCTTCCTTATCGATTCCTACCGTGTAATGCTGTGGAGCCGAACGTGACTTGATGGTGCCTCGATATGCGAATGTTGGAAGTACACGTATAACGAATTTTGTATGTATTACCATTTACCCAGGGGCGGTTTCTTCATTAGGGCGATTGGGCGACGCACCACCAAAGTGTGAAAGGGACTTTTTCAATCACATTAACAATCTCATTCAACCACAGAGTTACGCTAGCCGTTACTGTGCCTCTGGATATAGTCCAATCAGCGTCATGTCACGTTCTTTTTAGGCGATTTCACTCTGGCTGAGAATCGCCCAGATTGTTCCCATAGACTTACATTCAAAGATGCTTTTTTTCGAATGGCGGGCGCTACAATGCATTCTCTATGGCTTCCGGGAGGCTCGCACTAACGTGCTTACGTCATCATACGTAAGCACGTTTCAGTCAATAATATTATTTGTCGCCACCTAGTGGAATTTCAATTTAAAGCTTTCGTGACTGAAGGGATTCATCTTCTTGGTTCTTTCGGTAAAGTCACGTCGAAGGGAAGTAATAAAATAATAAAAATAAAACATAATAAAATAATTCTCACGACGTTTCGGCCACAACTCAAGTAGCCGTCCTCAGATGAAAACCAGGTCTGTCGAGGCGACAGCGTCTGAATGAAACAGCACACGTGCTTGGAGCATGTATATAAGCTGGGTTGGAAGAGGGGAAGAAATGGGGAGCCTTGACAAAAAAAATTGCATATCAAGAGGAATTTAGCATATTTATGGGAAATGCAGGTATGTGATTAGTACTGCATATGCCCGTGCATTATGCAGGATTAGCAGCATCAAAGGGAGGGGATATGGGAAATGCAAGTATGTGATATGGGAAATGCAGGTATGTGAATAGTACTATTTATGCCCGTGCATTATGCAGGATTAGCAGCATCAAAGGGAGGGGATAAGGGTAGCATTAATGAAGGGAAGGAGTGTTAATAGTATGTAGCTGCAGTAACTAAAACCACCACGTAAACAACTAAAGTATAAACTACATATTATCATCAGTATACTAAATATACTCTACAATACGCTGAGTTACTAACAGTAAGTAATACATTACAATTCTACGTCGTAAAAAAAATATATAATATGCTTCCATCTGTTGTATGTGTGTGTATTTATGAAATTTTGATAAAAATAATAAAAATTAATAATTTTCCGAAAAATGCGCAAATCGCATGAATTATAATAGCGTGTGTATCAATATGCATTAATTATGATAATGTGTGTAATTATATGCATAAATTATGCTAATAACGGAGATAATCATAGTAGTTTATGCAGATGCTTGCGGTTATGTTAATGTGAGCAGTTATGATAATTAAGTTTAGTTTATCCAGAGTTATATCAATCAGGATAACACGATTATCATTGATTAAACATTTACTGATTATCTTAGTGTGTTATGTTATATTAGGTCTCCAGTTTCATATCTCGTCACAGGATACAGTTCTTGGGAATAAGACAGTTTTGCATGGACTTGGAAAGATGCACTCGAACAGTTGGTGTTAAGCAATTTTAATTCTAAACAAACACATGACACTCTAGTATGCAAAAGCAAGTATGCGTCAATAAATTTATGGGCAAGATTATGCAATTAACGAAAATGAATGACTAAAACATTTCTTATTCATGTAACTCGACGGCAGCAACTGCTTTGCACGATCAGTTGATATTGAACGCACCACCTTGAAATGGCAACCCTTTTTGAAACGCAAAGATCACTTTTTGAAAGTCTTATTCGTGTGCGTGTTGTGTGTGCGTTGTCCCCTTGTAATATTAATTAAATTTATTAGAGCCGGGAGTTGTGTCGTTAGCTTGTGTGGTGTGGGAGGGAATATACAAACAGCGGCCAGGTTCTCTCTGGGTTGGGCGTGGCCGCAGCGAGTCGTGCTGCCTTCCTTTCTCCACTGCTCGATAGAGTTTGCACGACGCTTGCCGTCGTGGTGCGCGATGATTCCGTCGTCGGATAGCGCGCAGCTCCACGAGTCGGCACGACGCTCGGTGACGTCCGAGTCGTGCTGCTCTTGCGCTCTCTCTCTCCCTCTACTGCTAGATGACGAGTTGGCACGATGCTCGGTGACGCCCGGGTCGTGCTGTTGCTGTCGCTCTCTCCTTGATTGCTGCCAACTTCACATGGACACTCGCCCTTGCTTCAGGCTGTGTTGGCTTGTGGCTCTGGACGACGCGGCTGTGCTCACTGCGTGTTGGTCGGTCTGTGTATCAAACACACTGCGCATTCGATGGCGCTTTCTCTCTCTTGGTGGCAGCCCCCGGCTTCTCCACTGCTCGATTGAGTTTGCACGACGCTCGCCGATGTGGTGCGCGATGATTCCGTCGTCGCTGCGGACGTCTTGTCTGTTCTCACTGGGTGTTGGTCAGTCTGTGTATCAAACACACGGCGCATGCATTGGCGCTATCCTCTTCCTCACAGCCGTTTGATCAGGCTTTCTCCACTGCTTCGCGCTCTCTGCTTTGCTCGCTTGGTCGACGCTCGGCGATTTCCGCCCTTTTACAGGTTGATTGCTTGTCGTCACTCGTCATTCTCTCTTCTCCGTGCTTCCCCTTGTTCGTGCAGCTGCCAGCTTCACTCGCACTTAACTTCGTTCTGCGAGAAGCGACACCTGCTATCGGCATCGGTGTTTGCTCCCTCACGACGCTCCGCCAGCCGGAGCACGGCTGCAACCCAGCCTCGACCCAGGTTGAATTCAGACTTCTGCGACTCGAACGACTCCTCCTCGTTCCATCTCCCTCGAGGCACGATCTGCCCCAGCTCTCTTGCGAGCCCCGTCGCAACGCTGCGTCGCAAGCCGAGTTGCGAGACTGAGCGCGACTCGAACCAGACTGCACTCAGGCTGTCACCTTAACGATGTCTCGTCGTCCCATCTCTCCTCGAGGCATGACTGCCACAGCTCCCTTGCGAGCCCCGTCGCAACGCCGCGTCGCACGCCGAGTTGCAAGACTGAGCGCGACTCAAGCTAGACTGCTCATTCGTGATGTGCGCATTTCTTGCGAGAGGGAAACAAAACAACAAAACGAGCGAGAAGAACCAGACACCCCCGCGACCCCTCCTCGCGACCTTTCCTAACCCCCCAAGCATTCATGGGCCATCTGTTTGTGCCGGACCGTTGGAGACAAAGGTGGCTGAGGAAATTTTTGCAATACATTTATGCGGTCCTGTGTGTTACATTTATTCTTGAGTTATATTTTAATGTCCTGAGGTTAAGTGCAACTAAGTTTCCACTTACGCTTCCTTAACTGTTGGAATTCGTAATTATTTTTTTTTGGTCAGGTAGATAGAAACATACAATACAAAATAATATATATATACTGTGAATACGAGTAATACAAGGGAATTACTAATAAAAAGCCCCTATTGTTTGTTGGTTAATTCTTTTTGTTAAGTTTCTACTTTTCGGTACGGAAAACGTTTAAGGAAAACGAGAGTTGCAAAAGTTGTTTTTCTCTGCTCTGCACCCCCTCCGTGCATCTCAAGATGTCTTGGGAGGTCAGGCCATCGATCTTTGTCCATCTGGATGTCTCTGACCTCTCTATGACCGAATTCTTATCGTTTTAATGGCCCTCCATGTTTCATAGATTCCTGGTATAGCCGGTGGAGAAGTGGGTTGTTTTCATTATTTAATTTAAAAACATATATATAGATATAATAAAAAATATATATATAAATTTTTTTTTGAATTGTTCTTAATAAAAAAAAGGTTATAGACACAACACATCTAAACTTTATTCTCTTACATCACACGAGTCTACACCCTACTATATACTGCCATAGACAAACCCAACATTAAATTATATACTGTATTGCACACCAAAGAAAGGTTCTTCTTTACTGACCACCTTGTAAGTGCCACGCTGCTACAAGGAGAGATGTTTCAACAGCATGGCCATACATTCCCTGTTGAGGCTCTGAACATCACTGTCAGGGCATACCCTATGTTAAATATGGCGAAGCTGAAGACTGAACTGTCTGTCATTTATGAGAGTCCAGAATGCAAGGGCTGCTGTGGTGCACTAGCGCTGTACCAGGTTTTGCTGAAGTACAACCTCCAGGATACTTTTTCAGAGACTGTTGCTCTGTTGAACATCCTCATAACCACTCCCATGACAACTGCTGAAGCTTAGAGGTGTTTCTCAACCTTAAAGAGAATCAATACATTCCTGAGAAATGTAATGGGACAGGAACGTCTGAATGCAATGGCTATGCTTTCCATGGAGAGGGAACTAGTCAGGAACATGCCTGCTTTCAATGAGAGAGTAATTGATCACTTTGCTACTTTGAAAGAGAGAAGAGCAAAATTTCAGTATAAGTAAGCAGTGTATTAAGCGAGTAATGTGATGTAAGCAGTGTAATAATAGTGAGTATAGAAACAAACAAGGAGATGTATTGTAAGAGTCACTTTATTTTTCATTAATATTAAAGTAGTGAAGTTGCCTTTACATGCTTAAGCTGTTAATTTATCCATTGCATGGGTGGACCTTATCCTTATCAATCATCCAAACATTTGCCCCCCCTGAGAGATTTTGCAGGAGCCGCCACTGCATTTACCATTGTATTAATGGTAATAATACAGAGCGCTTCAAAAAATGTTAACACTTCGGAGAATTTTCAACAATGCCAAAAGAAATGTGCATCTGGGCTCTGGAGACCACCCGGAGAATGATGGACAATAAGTGGAGACTCTTTTTTAAGCTATTAATATACATTTGTTATCATGTTATAGTGTATTATCCGTTCTTTTTCCGTAAAAAACGATAGTCCCATATAAGTGTTAAAAAAAATTGAAGCACCCTATTTATAAAATGAAACAAATGCGCATAACATAGGTATATAGTTGCTTGCATGTTCACCACAAGT